CTACCAAGACATGGCTGTTCCAAAAAGACTTTGAGAATGTGGGGCAGCTGTTAAAGCTGGTTTTCTGGACATCTTGATAGCTAGTACATTCCTTGTAACTGGATTGGGGGAGGGGAAAATCTTGGTTATGTGAAGTCCTTGGTGCTCTCTTAAGTTTGGTTGCTTGCTTGCAGATTTTTCATTACCCAACGACAGTAGGTAACATCCACTAACACAACAGGGCAAACCACTAGTATATAAAAATAAGAGCAAACCCCACTCCCTTCTAGCACTGATGATGTTACCTAGTTTGGTAATGAAACGTCTGCACGAAAACCACCAAGCTCAGCAAGTACCAAAGACACCACAAGCATACAACATTCAATCCCATCAGGCCTGGCTTAATTTGTTGTGCTTTACATCTATTGCTCTCTGGCGCAGTAGAAAAAGTGATTCGTTCTCTTTGATGGGTCAACCCTTCAGCCATTATCTCCCCAGTGGTCTTTTTTATTAGTCAGACATGCACAGATCCTTTAACTTTTCCTCATATGGCTTGGTTTGCAGACCCTTCTCTGCAAACATAGCCTCCTCTAAACATTTTCACGTTCCCTTCTGAATTGTGGTGGCCAAAATTGCACGCAGTATCCCAACTGGGGTCTGCTCATGGAGAATACTGGACACGTGGATGTATGCCATATTCTATTTAGCTTTAGCAAAACCCACACTCTTTGCAAGTTCTGTACAGATAATGAATGCTAGATTTTATTTTTATTTATTTTTAGACTAGGGCTGATTGCAAAGCTCTGAACAAAGTATTTATTTATTTTCTCCAGAGAAAACTCAGAAATTCTGACCACAAATGCTTGTGCACGCAAAACATTTTGATGATCACAGCAACATGATGCAGCTTTTATTTATTTATTTATTTATTTATTTATTTATTTATTTATTTATTTATTTATTTATTTCATTTATACCCCGCCCTTCTCCCGGAGGACTCAGGGCGGCTTACAGCCAGTTTAAAACAATCCCACATAAATACCAAATACAAATCTAAAATAATTAAAAATAAATATTTGAATTGGCCGCTCTATTAAAATTTTGTTAANCCATTAGTACCGTTTTATAAAACTCTAGTAAGACCACACCTGGAATACTGCAGCCAGTTTTGGTCACCGTATCACAAAAAAGATGTTGAGAGTTTGGAAAAAATTCAGAGAAGAGCAACTAAGATGTTTAAAGGCCTGGAGACTAAAACATATGAAGAATGGCTGCAGGACTTGGGTTTGGCTAGTCTAAAGAAAAGAAATAGGGGAGACATGATAGCAGTATTCCAGTATTTGAGGGGCTGCCACCAAGAAGAGGGGGTCACGTTGTTCACTTCAGCATCAGAAGGAAGGACAAGAAACAATGTGTTGGAAACTGATCAAAGAGAGAAGCAACCTGGAATTAAGGAGAAATTTCCTGAAAGTGAGGCAATTAACCAGTGGAACAGTTGCCTGTTGGAAAAGCACCTTTGGGACAACCATGACCTGGATGACTGAGAATCTCCATAGACATCTGGGTGGCTCCGATTGCCACTTTGAAAGCCCTGCTTGGCACAGGATCTGGGTATCTGCAGAACCATCTTCTCCAAACAGATTCAGCCTGTCTAATAAAACCTAGAAGGAAAAGCTTCCTTCAAGTCCCACTTTTGAGGGATTCAATCATCAGGGACTACAATACAGTATTTTTCAGTAGCTGTCCCTCTCCTTAGGAATAATGCTCCCCTCAAAGCCAGGTCAGCACCAATCTCTTTGGCACTCAGGAAAGCTACCAAGACATGGCTGTTCCAAAAAGACTTTGAGGATGTGGGGCAGCTGTTAAAGCTGGTTTTCTGGACATCTTGATAGCTAGTACATTCCTTGTAACTGGATTGGGGGAGGGGAAAATCTTGGTTATGTGAAGTCCTTGGTGCTCTCTTAAGTTTGGTTGCTTGCTTGCAGATTTTTCATTACCCAACGACAGTAGGTAACATCCACTAACACAACAGGGCAAACCACTAGTATATAAAAATAAGAGCAAACCCTACTCCCTTCTAGCACTGATGATGTTACCTAGTTTGGTAATGAAACGTCTGCATGAAAACCACCAAGCTCAGCAAGTACCAAAGAGACCACAAGCATACAACATTCAATCCCATCAGGCCTGGCTTAATTTGTTGTGCTTTACATCTATTGCTCTCTGGCGCAGTAGAAAAAGTGATTCGTTCTCTTTGATGGGTCAACCCTTCAGCCATTATCTCCCCAGTGGTCTTTTTTATTAGTCAGACATGCACAGATCCTTTAACTTTTCCTCATGTGGCTTGGTTTGCAGATCCTTCTCTGCAAACATAGCCTCCTCTAAACATTTTCACGTTCCCTTCTGAATTGTGGTGGCCAAAATTGCACGCAGTATCCCAACTGGGGTCTGCTCATGAAGAATACTGGACACGTGGACGTATGCCATATTCTATTTAGCTTTAGCAAAACCCACACTCTTTGCAAGTTCTGTACAGATAATGAATGCTAGATTTTATTTTTATTTATTTTTAGACTAGGGCTGATTGCAAAGCTCTGAACAAAGTATTTATTTATTTTCTCCAGAGAAAACTCAGAAATTCTGACCACAAATGCTTGTGCGCGTAAAACATTTTGATGATCACAGCAACATGATGCAGCTTTTGAACAATGATGCGTTACACGATCTCTCAATAACATAATTAAGTTTAAATCTGACTGAAAACATCCATGAAGTTTAAAAGAAGAGCATAGTTTTCTATCATTTTTGAGGTATCAAAAATCAAGTACAGGTAGTCTTCAGCTCATGACCACAGCTGGGACCAGAATTTCTACTGCTAAGCAAGGTGATTTTATTAAAAAAAAATTTGCAATTGTTGTTAAGAATAATCACTGCAGTTAAGTGAATCCCATGGTTGTTAAGCAAATCCCATTTCCCACATTGACTGTGCTTATTGAAAACCACCTGGGGAGGTTGCATATGGTGACCACATGACCCCAGGATGCTGCAACCATTGTAAATACTTCCAATTGCCAAACACCCAACTTTTGATCATGTGGCCGTGATGCTCCAATGCTCGTAATTGCAAGGACCGGTTTGAACGGTTGCTAAATGAATGGTTGTAAGTTGAGGACCACTTGTACATCATTCAAATCCATATTTATTTATTTATTTGCTTTTACAATCAAATACCATGATTTTAAGTTTACACTGCTCTGGTTGGATAAAGAGAGTGGGGGACAAAACCACAGTATGAATAATAAAGTCAATTTAATTACATATATAGTTCAATTAACCTTGCATATAAATCTCTCCCAGGGAGAGATCAATCAATCAGAATAGAGTTGGAAGGGACCTTAAGCCCTATACCATTTCAGATAAATGGTTGTCCTTTTAAAAAAATCTCCAGTGTTGGAGGTTTTCAACTTCTTGGGGCAAGTCGTTCCACTGGTTAATTGTCTTCACTGTTAGGAAATTTCTCCTTAGTTCTAGGTTGCTTCTCTCCTTGATTAGTTTCCATCCATTGCTTCTTATTCTGCCTTCAGGAGAATAGGTTGACCCCTCTTCTTTGTGGCAACCCCTCAGATATTGGAACACTGCTATCGTGTCACCCCCAGTCCTTCTTTTCATTAAACTAGACATACCCAATTCCAGCAACCTTTATACGTTTTAGCCTCCAGTCCCCTAATCATCTTTGTTGTTCTTCTCTGCACTTTTTGAATGGTTGTAAGTTGAGAACTTTACTTGTACATCCTTCAAATCCATATTTTTTATTTGTTTTTACAATCAAATACCATGATTTCTCAGTTTACATTGCTAAGGTTGAATAAGAGAGTGGGGGATAAAACCACAGTAGAAATTATAAAGTCAGCTTAATTACATATACAGCTCTATTAACCTCGTATATAAATCATAACTTTCAAAAAACTGGAGAATCGCATCAACTGAATGACTCAGTGAAGGATGATAGGAAAATGCCTTGATTACTTGTGCGTAATTATATTCTGTTTACCAAGTACAAAATAGTATAATCCAGGAGATAAACGCTTTGGGTGCTCCACATAGCTGCATAAAACCCAAGAAGGGGGCAGTTTTTATTTGCATATCCTGGCATCCAATCAGGGCAAATACATTTTCTGTGAAATTTCCCCCTGCTATAAAATAGTAATTTCTGAGTTGGGTTTACTGTGTCTTCAAAACTACAAATTTCTTACCCAAAGTTCTTACAAAACATTAAATCTTTCGGAAGATTCAAAGATCTTCAAATTGAGCCTTACCAATATAGTTATCTACAAAAAATGGGGTGATGTATTTCACTTTAAAAGGAGAATATTTGTAGCTTAGGGCTGAAATGACTGATGATGTTACATCATGGCCATTGAGGAGAATTTTGGGAATTGAAGTCCACATATCTAAGGATTGCCAGGTTGAAAAACTCTGATTTAGAGAGATCGTCTAGGGCAGGGGTAGGCAACCTTGGCTCTTTTATGACTCGTGGACTTCAACTCCCAGAATTCCTGAGCCAGCCATGCTGAGGGGAAAGGGAGAGGTTTCCAAGCTGAGCCATACTGGCTCAGGAATTCTGGGAGTTGAAGTCCATGAGTCATAAAAGAGCCAAGGTTGCCTACCCCTGGTCTAGGGTCTTCCAAAAACCTATATAAGCCTTTCAAAGCATCATCAACTCATTACATCCTACAATCTCTCCTTGCAGTTCTATCAAATGCCAAAATATATATTCATCCGCAGACCAGCCCGAAATTAAAAGTTGCAAAATAGTCTATAATACCAGCAATAATACCAGCCAGCAATTTCTCCCAATGCACAGGCCTTGTAAACTACTTTGGGATTCCCTGGTGCAGACTGAAAAGCAGTCT